TCTCTTCCCCTGTTCGATGTTCTATGCAACATTCCAGTTTCCCATTCATATGAGACCCGGAAGGCAGCATGGAGACAGTCATATCGAAGTTAACCATTTTGTGATTTCGTGAACCTTGCATTGTCCTTGAATGTATCCAAGCTGCCTTTCGGGTCCAATACAGTCATGGTGATGTTCAGGATTTTCCACCTTTTCCTAGTAGAAGGGCGTTTACGAATTAAACCCCAGATGAATGCCCCAACAGTGAGGGGCCCTGTCGGCCAGAACTTAAATTCGCGAGCAGCAACCCAAAAGACGAAGTTCCTAAGGCAGATGTCGCATCCGTAATGAAATGAAAAGTTGTTTTGAACAGTCACAAATAGGTCCCGCACGAACAGGTATTGGACAAAGTTTTCAAGACTGAGTTAGGGCAGTGAGTCAAAAGCCACAGTCCCAGTCCAGTCATAATCCCACGCATCAGTCCTGATTCACACCAGGAGTCCAAAAAACAGTCCTCCCAATGGCCCAAAGCAGCAGCAAACCATGGGAAAAGATACTGGGACATACACTTTGCAACAACAGGTACCGGGCAGGAGTCCCAGACAGTTGAGGCTGAATACAGGCCACACCAAGCCAGTCCAGCACTATAAAGGACTGGCCAGCCTCCCATTTGGACAGTTGCTTACTTCACATGAGAGTGTGGAAGTGCCATGGCACTTGTGCGCTAGATATGTGTGAGCTGCGCTAGGCTGAAGAGCAGCGCTATGTGAGAGGGAAGTGAGCGCTGGCCGGAGGGAAGGCAGCCATAACTGCGCCAGCGCTAGTTAGTATACTAGTAGAGGTAGTCAGTAGGAGACACCAGTGAGTAGTATTCAGAGTAGATCCTCGTGTGATAGGGAGTGTGCATGCATGATGAGTGTGAGTAGACCACGACTATAGACATAGAGGGAGAGAGATAAGAAAGCAGACAAGAGAGGGGGAAGAGTGAGTTATGGTGACACTTACCTGTTGAGCGCTGTTGTTGACGTTTGGCAGCTGGCGCTGATGAGCGCCAGGTTTGAAACTCATATTGATCGAAGATGACTTGTAACTCTGTTCAGCACTATACAATTTGGACTCACGAATTTCCTCTCTTAATCTGGTTATGAACTGACTTTAGCTTCCTGGTCCTCATTCAGCTTCTATTGGGCTTTGTGTGAGACATCGCAATCTATGAAATCTGTATAAATGCATGTGATCTGATGCACTCCAGCAAGTGATGAACAGTCGGGTTCCTTGCACCAGCACACCGCTCCTCATCCTCGGATCCCGAAAGGCAGCTTGAGACATTAGCGGACATAGTTCAAGAAATACTGAACTACAAACTACAACGAGGGCGCCTTGTGCCCTCAAATGTATTTTGCGGCCTCAGGTCCGGTACAGTGATGACGAGGGTAGAACTTACCTTTTGTTTCCTGACACTACACACCCTCAATATGATTGTATAGGACCTGAAAGGCAGCTAAGATACATTTAGGGAGCATCTCTCTCTCTCTCTCTCTCTCTCTCTCTCTCTCTCTC